GTAGTCTTAGTAGCAGAAGTAGTAGCAACATGAGAAGTCGTAATACTACCTGTAGCCTTTGTAGTGGTAATGGTACGGGTCGTCGTAGTAGTCGTAGTAGTCTCAGTAGTCGCAGTAGTAGTGGTAGTAGTAGTAGTAGTAGTAGTAGTAGTAGTAGTAGTAGTAGTAGTCGTAGTAGTAGTAGTAGCTGTAGTAGCAGCAGCAGCAGCAGCAGTAGTAGTAGTAGTGGTAGTGGTAGTAGTCGTAGTAGTAGTAGCCGTCGTCGTGGTAGTAGTAGTAGTAGTAGTAGTAGTCGTAGTAGTAGTAGTAGTAGTAGTAGTAGTAGTAGTAATACTAGTCGCAGTAGTAGTAACAGTAGCAGTGGTAGTAAAAGTGGTAGTCGTAGTAGTAGTAGTAGTAGTAGTAGTAGTAGTACAAGTAGTCGTCGTCGTAACGGTACCAGTGCTCGCAGTAGAAGCGGTAGTAGTGGTAGTCGTAGTAGTAGCCGTCATCGTCGTCGGAGTAGTAGCATTAGTACTTATAGCAGCAGTTGTAGCACTTGTAGTAGCAGTCTCATTCTTAGTCGCAGTCGTAGTCGTAGTAGTCGTAGTAGTAGTAGTAGAAGTAGTAGTAGTAGTAGTAGTAGTAGTAGTAGTAGTAGTAGTAGTCGTAGTCGTAGTCGTAGTAGTGGTAGTAGTAGCAGTAGTAGTAGTAGTAGTAATAGTAGTAGTAGTAGTAGTAGTTCGTAGTAGTAGTAGTAGTAGTAGTAGTAGTGGTCGCAGTAGTAGTCGTAGTAGTAGTCGTAGTAACAGTAGTACTGATTCGTCGTAACCGTACCAGTTTTCGCAGTAGTAGCTGTAGTAGTGGCATTATTAGTAGTAGTCGTAGTAGTAGTAGTAGTAGTCGTAGTAGTAGTAGTAGTAGTAGTAGCCGTCATCGTCGTCGGAGTAGAGCCTTAGTACTTATAGCAGCAGTTGTAGCACTTGTAGTAGTAGTCCCATTCTTAGTCGTAGCCGTAGTCGTAGTAGTAGTAGTAGTCGTAGTAGTAGTAGTAGTAGTAGTAGTAGTAGTAGTAGTAGTAGTAGTAGTAGTAGTCGTAGTAGTAGTCGCAGTAGTAGTAGTAGTAGTAGTAGTAGTAGTAGTCGTCGTGGTGTGGGAGCAGTAATAGTAGTAGTAGTTTCTTGTAGTAGTAGTGGTAGTGGTAGTGGTAGTGGTAGTGGTAGTGGTAGTGGTAGTAGTAGTAGTAGTAGTAGTAGTAGTAGTAGTTGTAGTAATAGTAGTAGTAGTAGTAGTAGTAGTAGTAGTAGTAGTAGTAGTAGTAGTAGTAGTAGTAGTAGTAGTAGTAGTAGTAGTAAAGTAGTAGTCGTGGTAGTAGTCGTGTAGTAGTAGTAGTAGTAGTAGTAGTAGTAGTAGTAGTAGTAGTAGTAGTAGTAGTAGTCGTAGCAGTTCGGAGGTGAGGGGGTGAGATCGAAGTGGAACGGAGAGCCCCCCCACCGGGAAATCGATTTCGGTTTCGTGTTCGTGCGTGCCGTGCGGGCGAGGCGAAGCTGCGTGGGCGGGCGAGAGAAAGTCTCCTGTGGCTGAGGCGCGGCCGGACCAAATGTCTCCCTTCCGGGCGGCCGGGGGCCCGCGGTGTCCCGCCGGTGTCCCGCTGGTGTCCCGTGTGGCTGAGGCGCGGCCGGACCAAATGACTCCCTTCCGGGCGGCCGGGGGCCCGCGGTGTCCCGCCGGTGTCCCGTCGGTGCCCCGTCAGTGTCCTGATAATGATGATGTTGATGATGATCATGATGGTTGTGTTGATAGTGATGATGATGACGATGATGGTGTCCTGGTGCTGATGATGATGTTGATGATGATGATGAGATGACGATGATGTTGATCTTCTGCCCGTTGTTGTTGTTGGTGATGTTGGTAATGCTGATGCTGCTGATGATGATTATGGTATCCCGATGATGATGATTATGACGGTGGTGATGATGATGGTGATGGTGATGGTGTGCCGATGATGATATTGATGATGCTGTTGGTGATGATGCTGCTGCTGATGATGATGGTGTCCCGATGATGTTGATGATGCTGTTGATGATGATGATGATGATGATGATGATAATGAGCTGATGATGATGATGGTGTCCCGATGTTGTTGATGATGTTGACGATGACAACGATGGTGACCATGATGGTGTCCCGATGATGATGCTGATGGTGATGATGACGATGGCTGTGTCCCGCTGGTGATGTTGATGATGTTGTTGATGATGATGAGATGGCGATGATGTTGATGTTTCTGCCCGCTGTTGTTGATGATGATGTTGGTAATGATGATGCTGCTGATGATTATGGTATACCGATGATGATTCCTATGACGGTGTTGATGATGATGGTGATGGTGATGGTGTGCCGATGATGATATTGATGATGATGTTGGTGACGATGATGCTGCTGATGATGATGGTGTCCCGATGATGTTGATGATGCTGTTAATTATGATGGTGATGATTAAATGATGATGATGGTGTCCCGATGTTGTTGATGATGTTGACGATGACAACGATGGTGACCATGATGGTGTCCCGATGATGATGATGATGATGCTGATGGTGATGATGACGAAGACTGTGTGCCGATGGTGATGTTGATGATGATGTTGCTGACTATGATGAGATGATGATGGGGATGATGATGATGGCCTTATGATGATGGCGTTGATGATGATGACGATGCTGATGATGATGATGATGACGACAGTGTCCCGATGACGATGAAGATGGATGTGTTGGTGATGATGATGACGTTGAATGTTAGATCGATTGTGATATCGGTAGTAAGATCGATAGTGAGACCGAATGTGACATCGATTGTGAGATCGATAATCAGATCAATTGTGAGACCGAGCGAATGAGACCTATCGAGTGAGATCGGTTGTGAGATCGATCGAGCGAGACCGATAGTGAGATGGATAGTAAGACCGATCGAGTGAGACGCTGCATCCTCCCCCCCCGAACCTCCTTATCACCCGAAGGGTGGTCGTATAGGTAACATTAGTCTTAGCAGTAGTAGTAGTAGTAGTAGTAGTAGTAGTAGTAGTCGTAGTAGTAGTAGTAGTAGTAGTAGTAGTAGTAGTAGTCGTAGTCGTAGTCGTAGTAGTAGTGGTAGTAGTAGTAGTCGTCGTAGTAGTAGTAGTAGTAGTAGTAGTGGTAGTAGTAGTAGTAGTAGTAGTGGTGGTAGTAGTAGTAGTAGTAGTCGTAGTAGTAGTAGTAGTAGTAGTAGTAGTAGTAGTAGTGGTAGTAGTAGTAGTAGTAGTAGTAGTAGTGGTAGTCGTAGTAGTAGTAGTAGTAGTTGTAGTAGTAGTCATAGTAAGTAGTAGTTGTAGTAGTAGTAGTAGTAGTAGTAGTAGTAGTAGTAGTAGGTCGTAGTAGTAATAGTAGTAGTAGTAGACTTAGTCGTAGTCGTAGTAGTAGTAGTAGTAGTAGTAGTAGGAGTAGTAGGAGTAGTAGTATAGTAGTAGTAGTAAGTAGTAGTAGTAGTAGTAGTAGTAGTAGTGGTGGTAGTAGTAGTAGTAGTAGTGTAGTAGTAGTAGTAGTAGTATAGTAGTAGTAGTAGTAGTGGAAAGTAGTATTAGTGGTAGTCGTAGTAGTAGATGTAGCAGCAGTAGTAGTAGTAGTAGTAGTAGTAGTAGTAGTAGTAGGTGTAGTCGTCGTAATAGTCGTAGTAGTAGTAGTAGTAGTAGTAGTAGTATAGCAGTATTAGTAGTAGTCGTAGTAGTAGAAGTAGTGGTAGTGCTAGTGTCAGTGGTAGTGGTAGCGGTAATGGTAGTGTAGTGGTAGTGGTAGTGGTAGTTAGTATATGTAGTAGTATCCGTAGAAATCGTAGTAGCAGGAGTAGTAGCCAGAACACTAGTAGCAGTAGTAGTAGTAGTAGTAGTAGTAGTAGTCATAGTAGTAGTAGTATAGTAGTCGTCGTCGTAGCAGTAGTAGTAGGAGTAGTTGTAAGTAAGTAGTAAGTAGTCGTAGTAGTAGTAGTAGTCGTAGTCGTAGTAGTAGTAGTAGTAGTAGTAGTAGTAGTAGTATAGTAGTAGTAGTAGTAGTAGTAGTAGTAGTCGTAGTAGTAGTCGTAGTCGTAGTCGTAGTCGTAGTCGTAGTCGTAGTCGTAGTCGTAGTCGTAGTCGTAGTCGTAGTCGTAGTCGTAGTCGTAGTCGTAGTCGTAGTCGTAGTCGTAGTCGTAGTCGTAGTCGTAGTCGTAGTCGTAGTCGTAGTCGTAGTCGTAGTAGTAGTAGTAGTAGTAGTAGTAGTAGTAGTAGTAGAAGTAGTAGTAGTAGTAGTAGTAGTAGTAGTAGTGGTAGTAGTAGTAGTAGTAGTAGTAGTAGTAGTGGCAGTAGTAGTAGTAGTAGTAGTAGTAGTAGTAGTAGCAGTAGGAGTAGTAGTGGAAGAAGTAGTATTAGTGGTAGTCGTAGTAGTAAGGGGAAGCAGTAATAGTAGCCATGTTTTTTTTCTGTAGTCGTCTCAGCTCTAACACTGCTATGCATCATACCGCGGCTAGTACGTCTACGACTCGAACCACAACAACAATCTCTACACTTCCCACCGCTACTGGATTACTACTCCTACCACTACGACGGTTTCTACAAGTGTTACTGCCACGCCCATCCAAACAAGCATTTGCTGCTCTGCTTCGCTTGCGCCACATAGCTGCTACCACCATACTTGCCTCACATATATTGCACGACGTGGATTTCTCCAGGCGCGTTGCATCCCATCTGCTGCGCAACATAGCTTGCACGTCTGGCGTGCAAACAGCTACTGCTGGGGGCCCACGCTGGCTTGCACGTGTTGTCCGGAAGTTTTTTCTTTTTGGGGGCCTTCGCAGGCCTCTGAAGGTCTCGGACACCTCCTCTGCCTTCTCCTGGGCCCGTGTCGTCGTCAACGTTGTCGTTGTCGTTTTCGCCGTCGTCTTGTGATTTCCAGCGTCGGCATCGTCATCGGCTGCGCCGGTGGTGAAAACGGCGGCGGCAGCGCTGCAAGGCTGCCTGAACCCCGACGCCTGCGGTGCCGAGCGGGCGCGCCGCGTCGGGTTCGAGCAGGAGGCTGCGGAGCTCCGAGACGAGATCGCGCGCCTGAGCCAGTGACCGGACGGCAAGCACAGGCTGCGCGCACGAGGGGGTGGTGGGAGGCGGGGGCCCCCAAGCCGTGCGGCGAGCCCACCGTGGGGATTGGGGGTGGCTGCGCGGCCCTGGGACAGGGGTCGCTCGCCAAGGACGCTTTCGGGCGACTGTGGCCTCCAGGGCACCACGACCGCGTGGTGACGGGCCGTCGAGCGGTCCTTGGGAAGGCGGGGGGGCTTTGCAGGAGGGGCCAGGAGGCTTCCGAGGAGGCCTTTCGGAAGCCGGGAGGGCCTCTGAGCAGCCACCCGCGCCTCGGGAGGAGGAGGAGGGGGAGGAGGAGGAGGAGGAGGAGGAGGGGGAGGAGGGGGAGGAGGGGGAGGAGGAGGAGGAGGGGGGGAGGAGGAGGGAGGAGGAGGAGGAGGAGGAGGAGGAGGAGGAGGAGGCCTTTCAGAAGCCGTCCCCCCGCCTTCTCGGACGGTCGCCTCCATCGCGCCGGCCCTTGGCGCGCGCCGCCTGCGCCCACCTCGGCGACCGAGGAGCGAACCACTGAGGATCGAGGCGTTGTCGGGAGGCGCTCGGGCGCCCCTGGAGGTTCTCGTCGCCATGGTTGAACGCAGCTGGAGAAATTGGGCCTCGGGAGGGGTCCCGGGATAGATTCCTACGGCGCTCTGACGGAGGATGAGGAGTTTTGTGTGACGGTGGATGTTATGGATGATTGATCGCAGCAGAAGTGATGCTGTTGATGATGTTATTGATGAGGAGGTCACGTATCAATTTCAATGATTGTTTGCCCACCCCAGGACCTCCCGAGAGGCTTCCAAAGGCGCCAAACGGGTCAACCAACAAGAACGCCTAGAGCCTCCATCCTCCATCCTCGAACCTTTCCTTCCTCCTGCACCAAAGGTCAGCTCAAAATCGGTGCACGGACCTCTCCCGGGTCTCATTCTGACCAGCTCCTCGAGCTCCGTCCAGCCGCTGTGACGGGGACCCTCGCCCCTAGGTCCTCGAGCCTCGTCCTCGTCCTCCTCCTCTTCCTCCTCCTCCTCCACGACAAGGACGAGGTGTCCCCCAGGTCGCGGAGACCCCGGGATGTTTCCAAAGGCCAGGCAAAGACCACAGAGTCCCCAGAGGAGCGAAAACCGTCCACGGGTCCCGATCCTCGATCGTTTGATCCTCGACCCTCGACCCTTGGCCCCCCCCCCTGTGGATGCCCAGGCAGCCGCGGCGGCGTCTCGCATCTTGTCGCCGTGCAGGACTTGGCATCGCTCGGACGTCGTGTGCATTGTTCTCTCGGCGAGGACCATCGAGGAGGAGCCTCTTGGACCACCTTGCGAACAACAACAGACGCACGAAGCCGAAACAGCACGGGGAAGGGACGTCCGAGCGATAGCGAGGTGATCGTTTCCTTACTCCGGGTTTCGTAATGGAAGATGCCTACGGCGAATCACAGCCGCCCCCTGCCTTTTGGAAGCGCCTATGTGGCCGAACGCTGAGGCCAGACCTGCCAAGCTATCGGACCATGTGTTCCCCGAATCGGTTTGGAAAGCCTTCGGGGAACACGTGGGCATCTTGAAGGTCATCTTGGCCGCCTGGAGGCCATTTTGACCCTTTCGGGCCTTCTTGGAGGACATCTTGGAGGGCTCTTGGGCCGTCTTGGAGGACATCTTGGGCGTCTTAAAAGCCTCCTGTGCCGTCTTGGGGGCCTCTGGGGGCCGTCTTGGGCCTCTTGGGTGATTTTTGGGGGCACTTGGGCCGTCTCGGGCCGTTGGAAGGTTGAAAAAAGCAAATGCCACAATCCTTCGAAAGTTCTTGGGAAATCAATGATTTTGGCCTTTTCGGGCCTTCCTGGAGGCTCACTTGGAGGCTTCTTGGGCCGTCTTGGGCCATCTTAGTGCAATCTTCGGCCGTCTTGGTGGGCCCCCTGGCCCGACCGACGCCGTCGGAAGCCGTTTGGGGGGCCTCTCTGAGCCGACTTTGGGCCCTCTTGGAATGCTCCAGGACCGTCTTGGAGGACATCTTGGGCGTCTTAAAAGCCTCCTGTGCCGTCTTGGGGGCCTCTTGGGGCCGTCTTGGGGGCCTCTTGGGCCGTTCTGGGGCCATCTTGGAGGCATCTTGGGCGATCTTTAGGCGATCTTTGGGGGCTTGGGCCGTCTCGGGCCGTCGGAAGTCCGAAAAGAAGCAAATGTCAGAATCCTTCAAAAACCTAGGGGGAAAAAAACAGTGCTTTTGGCATTTTCTGGCCTTGGAGGCTCTCTTGGAAGCCTCTTGGGCCGTCTTGGGCCAGCTTCGAGCCAACTTCGGCCATCTTGGTGGGCTCCTGGCCCGTCTGACGCCGTCGGAAGCCGTTTGGGGGGCCTTTCTGGGCCTACTTGGGGCCCTCTTGGGCTGCTCCAGGGCCGTCTTAGAGGCCATCTTGGGCGTCTTGGAGGTCTTAGGGCCCTCTTGAGGCCCGTCTTGGGGGCCTCTTGGGCAGTCCTGAGGCCCTCTTGGAGCCCTCTTGGGCGATCTTTGGGCGATCTTAGGGCCTCTTGGGCCGTCTTGATCCGTCGGAATGCCGAGAAGAAGCAAATGTCAACATCCTTCAAAAACCTAACGAACATCAATGATTTTGGCCACTTCGGACCCTCCTGGAGGACCTCTTGGAGGCCTGTTTGGGTCGTATTGGGCCGTCTTGGAGGCTTCTTGGGCGAACTTGGACCATCTTGGAGATATTGTAGTGGCCTTCGGCCAGTGCCGCCGATCCGGGGCGCTCCGACTGATGTGATCCTCTTTCGCCCTCGTCCCTCCTCTCTTTTCCCTTCCTTCCCCCTTTCATTCCGCATTTATCGAAGACGCCTACGGCGAATCCCCGCCGCCCCCTGCCTTTGTGGAAGCGCCTATGACGTTGAGGCCACACCTGCCAAGCCATCGGACCATGTGTTCCCCGACTCGGTTTGGAAAGCCTTCGGGGAACACGTGGGCGTCTTGATGGTCATCGTCGCCGTCTTGGAGGCCTCTTGGGCGATCTTTCGGCGATCTTTGGGGGCTCTTGGGCCGTCTCGGGCCGTCGGAAGGCCGAAAAAAGGGAAATGCCCAAATCCATCAAAAACCTTGGGAAAATCAGTGATTTTGGCATCTTTTGGCCTTCCTGGAGGCCCTCTTGGGGGCCTCTTGGGCCCTTTTGGGCCAGCTTCGAGCCAACTTCGGCCATCTTGGTGGGTTCCTGGCACGTCTGACGCCGTCGGGAGCCGTTTTGGGGGCCTTTCTGGGCCAACGGGGGACCCTCTTGGGGCGCTCCAGGGCCGTCTTGGAGGCCATCTTGGGCGTCTTGGAGGCCATCTTGGGCGTGTTGGAGGCCTCTTGGGCCGTCTTGGGGCCCTCTAGGGGCCATCTTGGAGGCCACTTGGGCCATCAGGGGGCTCTCTTGGGGGCCTCTTGGGCGATCTTGGGGGCTTCTTGGGCCGTCTTGAGCCGTCGGAGAGCCGAAAAGGCGCAAATGCCAAAATCCTTCAAAAACCAAGGGAAAATCAATGATTTTGGCCTCTTCGGACTCTCCTGGAGGACCTCTTGGAGGCCTCTTGGGCCGTCTGGGAGGCCTCTGGGGGGCCTCTTGGGCCGTCTTGGGCCGTCTTGGACTCTCTTGGGCCGTTTTGGAGGCCGTCTTGGACCATCTCGGGCGGACTTGGAGGCCATCTTGGGCCATCTTCGCGATTTTTTGAGGATGTCCCGAGCGAAACGGCCGTTTTTGGAGGATTTGTTTCCGGATTGAGGTGTTTTCGGCTTCCTCCCGGGACCCCGGCGGGACGGGCCGGAGCCCACTGGGGAGTTCTTTTGGAAAAAGAACCAAAACCAAAACCTGACAGCTCGTCCAGCACGCCGTGCACCCCTGCAAGCAGGGGGCGGCGGATCCAGTGGCCTTCGGCCTATCCCACCACCGTGCGTGGGTGGTGGGTCAGAGGCCTCATGGACGCTGGTAGGGATATCGTGGTTGGCCGGGACCTCTGGGGGCCTCTTGGAAGCCTCTTGGGGCTTCTTGGGGGCCTCTTGGGCTTCTTGGGGCCACTTGGGGGCCTCTTGGGGGTCTCTTGGGAGTCTCTTGGGGCTTCTTGGGGGCCTCTTCTGGGCCCCTTGGGGCCTCTTGGAGGCTTCTTCGGAGCCTCTTGGTGCGGGAGGGGTGGCACTCGAGTTCGGACCCCCCTCGGAGGCCACGATCCTTGTGAGGGGTGTCAAAAAACGCATCCGCCGGAAACTCGCCCCCCCCCCCCCCCACTCCCCCTTCCCCGGCAGAGCCACCCCGGCAACCCCCCCGGAGGCTGAGGCTCAGCCTCGAGGCTGTAGCTGAGATTCCTTGTAACTCACACGCCGGATCGGCGGATTTTGGATTCTCTTGGGCCGTCATGAGGCCGTCTTGGACCATCTTGGGCGGACTTGGAGGCCATCTTGGAGGCCATCTTGGGCCAACGTGGCCATCTTGGAGGCCATCTTGAGTTGTCTTCCAGGATTTTTTTCTGGATTGGGTTTTTTCCGGGTGGCCGGCGGGACGCGCCGGAACTTTAAACGGAGAGGGTTAAAGGCGAGATGTAAATCGAGCATGCACCGCTGCCGTGCCTGGCTCAAGCCGGGCCCGGCCGAACATGTGATTGTGCCTCACCGAGGCGCACTACTCGCATCTGAGATCGGAAAAGACCTTTCTATTGAAGATGCCCCTTCTATCCTTTACTCCAGATCCCATGCTTCATCTTGCTCTCTTGCTCATGCGGTATGAGCCAAAGCCTGGGATATGGGAGCGCCTAAGGCGGAACATATATCTTGGCTTACCAGTGCGTTTTCGACTTGGTAGCGGAGCTGGCTACACTCTCGTGTGGCTGGCTCTCGCTCTAATACCCATCATCCACGGCACAACTTGGTGGACTACTACTACGGTGGAATACCATGTTGCGCCGGCTCTGCGAGGAGCGGAGCCAGTCCGCGATCGGGCTAGCGGGGCTACCCGCGAGCTCGAGACGCTCTCTCCTACCTCACTGCGCTACTTCACTCCCGACTTCCACCAGATGCCAATCGGCAACTCGATCGAGAACGTGGTCACTCTGCGGGGCTACCCGCAGCGGGGCCACCTGCATCCCGTGCCGGTCAGGCGCCTTACGGCTACTACGCCCGAGCCTGACAAACCACAGCCTAAACCAATCACCGAAGCCGAGATGCACATGCACTGGATCAAGATAACTATCTTCGGCATTCTATGGGTGATAATGGGATGTGCTGTGGGCTACAT